GAAGTGCCCCCAGGGCTGGAGGTGCCCCAGCAGTGCCAGCACAGGGGTGGGCACTGCCCTGGGCCTGTGGCCACACCATGGCTGGGACAGCCCAGGGGCCTTTGGCCTCCTTGGAAAGTCTCTCAGAGCTGCACTGTGGGGGTGTACTTTGGAAAGTGTTACTATGTGTTTACCCTGCTTTTTACATTCCTGCTCAAGGATCTGCTAGTCAGCCTGCTGGAGTCAGGATGATGTCCCAAAGGAACCTGGGGCAGACCCAGCATGGCTGGTCTTCTCACCTTTCTCCCAATTAACTCATTATATGTGAAGTTTTAGGTACTGCAGTTTTAATTCTTGGGTTTTATGGTGCTTTATTAAGGTGTTAATTCCATTTTTGTGCTGCCCATATTTGTCCATATTTATAGTAACCACCGAGTGAGGGAAGCCTTCAGAAATGTGCCCCGTGAGAGAACTGCAGTCATGGCTGGAGAACAAGACACAATAACCAAACCTCTTCTGTACCATATTTTAGCTGCTGATCTGAAAACTGCTTTATGAAAGATGGCAAGTACTACTGCCTTGATGCAATAAATGGCAGTATGGATGTCACAAAGATCAGCTTGCCTTACTCGCAGGGCCTGTGTTTGTACAGGTCAGTGACAGCGTTTTAGTGCTGGGTTCCTGTCTGACCTGCACCCCAGGTGCTACTGCAGAGAGAAGGACCTGGGGAAGAGCCTGTGCTTCCTTGGGCCAGAAGGATGGAGACTTGTTACTGTGCTCATTGCTTTAGGGCTTTAGGGCCCGGTGTTCCACATTTTCTTCTCCCTCAGTAGTGATAAAGCCATAAAGGCTGGCTGATCCCAAAGCCATGCACACCCTTTTTCCCAAAACGGCTCTCATCTCTCCAAGGGTGGGCAAGTGAGGTCACTGAGCCAGCAGGAAAATATTGCTTTGGCAAAGGTTTCCTGCCACCTGTGGCCCTGGAGCAGGTTCCTGCAGACTTGTGAGCAGCAGAGCCAGCCCCAGGACGGTGGTGGCAGCGTGATGGGGAGCTGATCCCCTCGCAGAGCCTGCCAGCAGCTGGCAGGATGAGCCTTGAGGCCAAGCCTGAACCAGGAGGGACACTCGAACACCTCATCTGGGGGCAGTAGCACAGGTGAGAACAGGTGTCCGCTTCAGTTTCAGAGCGAACGGCATCGCCGTGGCCTTTGCCCTGTGCCAGCAGCCCACGGCAGCGCTGAGCGTGGAGCTGGTGCTTCCAGCCCTGGATGGGACCTCTGGGGCCGGCATCGCTGCCTCCCCAGGGGCTTCTCCTCCATCCTCTGGAACAGCTGTGACCGGCCACGCCTGGGCTGTGCTCTGGGCTGGCACGGCCAGGTCTGTGCCCCGAGCCTCACGGCTGCCCCGAAAGGGTTAAGAGAGGGCTCCTCCCTCCCGGTGGAGTTTCCTCCTGGGTGACCTTCCCAGCAGCCCTTGCTGGTTTTGCCCCGGACAAACAAAGAGGGCAGGAGCTTTTCAAACAGCAGCCTCCCAAAAAGTTGGGTGCCGCGGAGCGGGGCTGGGCGGCAGCGGAGCCGTCCCCGGGAGGATCCGGCAGCCGTCGGCAGTCCCTGTACGTGGATGCTCTGCTGCTGGGCACGGAGCTGCTTTGGGTGCTGGGAGCGTCCCGGGGCAGGATGAGAGGAGCTCCTGGCAGTGGTAGTCTGAGGGGGTGGGAGCACAGGATGGGGTGTTGGCGAAGCCCCGTGCCCATGGCCCCGCCGCGGCGGAGGCTCCGCGGGCGAGCAGGGGTGCGGAGGCTGGTGCTGCTCTCATGCTCAGGGTCGGGGCTGGGACTGGCGTGCCCGAGCTGAAGTGCTGCCCTCCAGCTGCTTATTGAACTCAGAAACGTGCCCAGCTGTTTCCCAGCGGAAGTGCAGACCCCTTTGGATGCTGGATGTGTCGGTGGATGCTGGGCGGTGGGTGTAAGGCAGCAGGTAAACACAAAGCTGCTCGGGCAAGACACCGTGGACAACAGGAGAGGAAAGAACAGATCTCCACGAGGTCTGCCTTTGGCTCTTACCTCTGTGTTTATCTGTCTCTTCTCTCCTGCACTTCCAAGCTGCTGAGGACAGGCTATTTATTGCCACTTCCGCAGGTGAACTGTGCTGCTTGTGGTGTGGTTGGGACTAATTAGTGTCTCTAAATGCTGCCTGACGCTGAGAGTGCCTGTCCTCTGCGTTGTACAGACTGGTACCTGGTGCTTCGTTTGCCCTTCCCATTCACTGGCTTTGGGTTGTGGTGGTTTTTCTACAGACGACTCTCTTTGAGCCCCAGGAACTCCGGGGGATCCGTGGGTCACTGCCCACACCAACAGTGGCATTCAGCATTCATTTATCACGGTGAGGTGTGAGCACCCCGTCCCAGGCATGGCTTAGCATTTGTAGGGATTGCACTGGGCTGGCCCAGCCCGCAGCCTCTGCATGCTGGTGTTTTCTGTGTGCTGGAAGATCTTTGGTCTCCCTCTCTGTTCAATCTGACTCCTTCTGCACCTGTATGAGAGTAAGGGTAGATGTGTGTCTTGCTTCAGAGGATACAGTCTGTGTGCCTGCCACAGAGGAATTGCAGAGTGGGGAATTTGTATTCTGAGGACTCAGAAACTTTTCATCCTGATGTGTTGTACCAGCCTTTGTTATTGTTGCAGAGAATTGAGAGTTTCCAACGGTTGCACTGTCCAGTAGGCTTGCAACAGCAACAGCAAAAATAGGTGATTTTGGGGTTTCCTCTCTAGTTTGCAGAAGGAGGTGAATTTAGCAATTTAGCTGAAATACTTAAAGGTGAATTAAGTCTCCAGCCATAGCCTCTGAATGCCTGGCCTGCCCTCTCTCGAGGTCTGAGGCTCTTCTTGCAGTGCACACCGGTAACTAGGCCTTGGACAGGGTGCTTGGCAAGTCCCACAATGCAGTGACACTGATTAAAATGGCAGCCTGGGAGAAATGGCCATTTCCCCTGGCACAGATCTTCCTGCTTTGGCAATATTCCAGCATTGGACACCTAACACTACTGCTCATCTTTCTCCAAGCTAATTGAACCACACTGCCAGCTCATTGCCATGCTTGGAGTGTCCTGTGCAGGGCCAGGAGTTGGACTTGATGATCCTTGTGGGTCCCTTCCAGCTCAGGATATCCTGTGAATCCACGAGCCCTTTCTCATTACTTGTCTCCACAGAGCTAAGACTTTCCAGTCTGTCTGTACAGCAGTGAAACTGTTCCCTACGTGAAGAGCCAAGGACAATCCATGTCCCTTCCAAGCTGTGCCAGGCAGGCACTGGAACAGGGCCCTGAGGGCAGTAAGCCCAGTGGAGGACTGGGCTGTACCAGTTGTTTGTCAGTGTTTACCCATGGCTGTGTTCAGAGAACAGTTCTCTGCAGGGTGAGGATTTGGGCATTCCTGGCAGACTCACTCCTCCCACAGCACCTTTGCTCTACTTTATACACTTCCTGCTGTCTGAATCCATATCTGAATCCTATCCAGCACTGTCCTCCTTGTGCTTCTGGAGGATGTTTTTAATAGTGGTTTTCCCCTCTGAGCTGCTGCAGTGTGAGAAAGAACTTGTCTTCCCAGCTTCTGCAGTGACTGTTTAAAACACTGTGGGAAAGCCATAAAACCAGAGAGGATGGATGAGTGTCCCTCTCCAGCTGCTTGCAGCTGCTCCAGCTCCCCAGTGTGTGCTGGGGATCTGAGGAGGATGTCTGTAAACCGGAAGCAAAGGAAAGGGTGGGCAAGAGGACCTTGTCGAGCTGCCACCAGCCACAAGGCCCAGATCTGACAGATTTGTCTTGTGTCTCCCTACGAGCTCCATGAAGATCAATCCCCTTTTGCCAACCCCAAATTCTTTAGGAGTGAATTTCACAAACCCTGGGACACTGGCCTTGTGCTGTACAAAGTTAAAGGAGAGAGACGTACCCACATCCAACTTTGTTGTTCACGATCCTACATGGCCCTTCTTAGGGCAGGAGTATTTTGCACTCTGTGCAGCACAGCAAGCCCTTGAGCCCAGCATGCTTTGGGATGTTAACAACATAAAGTGTCTGTTTTCAGTTGCTGAGACCGAACAGGTTGATCTGCGTCTTCTTGCTCTGCATCCTTGTGCTCCCTGTGGATCACGACTTTTCCTGCTCCCACTCTTCCCTCTCCTTCAGTCAGAGCAGTTCTCAGCATCAGCAGTTTGTCTCTCCAGTCAGACCTGTTGCTCCAGCTCTGTGCCTGCTCCCTGTGCCGTGCTGCTCCTGGAACGGTGGGTGGGAGCCTGTTGCTCTGGTTCAGCCCATCTGTATGTAGGTGCCTACATCTCTGCAGGGCTGTTCCATCTCGGGGCCAGGCTGTTGTGCAGCTAACCCAGATGGCTGAAATAGCCACTGAGAAAACACAGCCCCAGGGTAACCTAGTCACCTGTGGCATGGCTGTTGAAAGGTTAACTCTTCCTTGCTTCAACCCAGCATGAATTTCAGCAGCAGCTTTGCTTGTACCTCTGCAAGGTAAAAACTGCCCATGTGCAAGCTGTGAGACAGGAGGGAGAAGTCAATCTGCCCAGACATGAGCCAGCTCTGTGGTCACACAACCAATGTTTCATTCTTGGGGAATCAGGCATTCAAACCCAGGTAATCAGGGCTGCAGAAGGACTGTGGGAGAGACAGGCAGCTGTGGCTGGGAGGTTGTCTGTGTGTGTGCAGGCGGGGGGGGAGCTTTTCCCTGAGGGACTTGCAGGATGGACACTGGGGAGTTCCTGTCTCTCAGGTTCACCTTCTGGAGCAGGGGCTTGCACTGGCACAGAAACAAGTGGTGCAGAGGGAAAGCCTGCTTGCTCTAAGGCCTGAGGTTAGGTAACATCACCTGGATTGTAGGAAACTTGGATTCATGCTCCTCTTCCTCTTTCTTAGACCTTAAATCCACTCTGCTCTGAAAGGAACTTGGAGATGTGTGGGAGTGTTGCCTTTATTGTTCTTCTCTCTTGAGGCTATTCCATTTTGCAATATTTTCTAGGCCAGAGAGTGTGGGAGCTAAGGAAATAATCCTGTTGAGGAGAAGGCTGCTGCAGGCTCTGGGCTGTGTTTTGGTGGATATAGCTGCACGCAGAGTTATGGAATAGAAACACTACCAGCAGCAACACCTGGGAAAAACAGCTTTCTCAGCTACAACCAAGTACTTGAAAGCTTCAGGCATTGCAAGCATTCAGTGGCTGATCTGAAATTTGGACAGACACCGAAATTGACTGGCTGGAGCAAAATTCCTGTTGCGGGGCTGGTGGTGTAACAAAGCATGCAGCTGCTCACACAAAGGTGTGTGACCAGCTGGCTGGGTAAGGCCTCAGAATCCAGCCCACCAAAGGGCAGAACTTGGAGCCTGTGGTGCTGTGGGACAGACCTCCCCAGCTGGAGCCATGAGCTGAGTGTTCCAGTCGCTGTGTCTTCCCCCTGGGATTGCCCATCCCAGTGCACAGCAAGGGGTGTGGGTGGGAGAGGACACTTGCAGACCATGAAGAATCACACTGGAGCCACTGTGGCTTGCAGGGGAAGGATGTAGAATCTGGGACTGCCAAAGCACTGGCAGCTGTGGCTGGCACACAGTGTGACAGCTGGGGAGGTAGAAGCAGGAGGGATTTTGGAACAGGGGACTTAAAGTGTCCACACAGCTCACAGCACCTGAGCTGTGTGTGGACATGCCAAGCCAAACTGACTCAGTGGTGCTGCTCTGTTTTAGAAGTAGAAAATGAGGCTGTTCCAGGGACTTTATGGAGGAGATGAAACCTTTTTGGGTTCCTGATATCCAGAGAAATTGAAGGGGATCAAGGCAGAGAGTAAGCTCACACAATTTCAGTGCTGTAAATTTTCTTCCATGGATGCTTCTCTTCCCTGTTCTGCAAAACCACCTCTGGAATTAACTTCTCCAAGTGGTGTAAGAAACCTTCAGAGGAATGATGTCACCCCCAACCTGCCCCTGGAAGGTGAAGGAAACTCCATTCCTATGCAAAATCACAGGTCTAGGAAAATCTCTGAATCCTTCCCTCTCACTGGGTTGATTTTTGGTTTTCCTTGTTGAAAAATTTTTTGGGAGAGTAACACACACCTTGAAAGCCAGGTGAGTGTAAAGGTCTCATCTCTGTGAATGTGTAACTTGATAAGCTGTGTGCATGGTGGAAGCTGCAGCCCCTTGGGAAAAATCCCCTCTGGAGAGGAAGAAGAGAAGGTGATGGACTCAGCTGTGGAAATGGGGAACACATTTAGTATGGGAAAAAAACGTAGTGCCATGGCCTCGTTGACATGGTGGTGATCTGTCAAAGGTTGGACACGACCCAACCTAATTAATTCTGTGACCTTGGAGGAAATTGCTGGAATACTGTGTTTAGAGGGATGGCATGTTGCTTTCACTGGCAGCCCTTTTCACCTGACTGGGGCAGGGTAGCTGCTGTGCACTTTGTCCACCCTCAAGGTGTAAGTGGGGCTGGAGCTGGATTTTGACCTGCTGCAGCTCCTGCTTGCCAGCTGGACTCTGACCCACAGCTTCTCAGCGTCTTTTAGAAATTACTTTCCAGGTCTTGGTCTACCTCTGATCAGTAAATACATATTTTTAAAAAGCCCTGCTGCAGAGGCAAGTGCTGTTCTTGAAGCATAAGGAGCCTTGTGAAGCCTTGAGCATTGGTGGTGTCTCCATGGAGCTGTTCCTGCAGCCATCCTGGCCAAACTCCTCGTGCTGCTGCCCCTCCAGCGAATGGGGGGCTGTGGGGGAACACCCTGCTTTGGGAATGCTGGGGTTAGTGGGTGTTCTGTGCCTCCTGTGAGCTGTCCCTATGCCCAGGAAGGCAGGGCAGGGTGGTGGAAACTCTGTGGAGGACTGGGAAGGTCTGGAGGGGATGAGCATGTGAAGAAGGAGGGTGTTGGTACCAGAAGGTGGTACACAGTGAATGACATCTCCAGTGGAGAGAGAACTGGGGGAGATGCTGGGTGGAGTTTGCATATCTCCAAGGCACTCTCATCGTCCCCTTTCCTGAGCTGGATGAGGACTGCAGCCGTGGTTGCTGGCTTTCCTGGCATTGGTACAAATGGTATGTGTCTGTCCCCAGCCGCTCAGACACTCCAGCGTCCTCTGACCATGTCTGGAAACGCTCTGGGAGGAGGGCAGACTATCTTACCAGGGCCCAGGCTCCTCATACCTGCAGCCTCAAGGGCGTGGTCTCCTTGGAGCATCTTCCCTTGGCGTGGGGAAGGTTGAGAATTTCTGAGCTTTTCCTCTTGCTCTGCAATTGCTGTGTCTGCATCAGGGCCATCTGTTTTCCTGTATCCACTCCCCCAGCTCTTATCTGCAAGGTCTCTAATGCACACAGCAGGGCCTTTAGATGCAAGCAGAGCTGGATCAAAGTATAACCTACATCTCTGGAGTTAATGTCTCTCTCTTTTGCCGTAGGAGAGGTAAAATGCAGAGGGACACAACTCCTCTGTTGAACTGAGTGACTCCATTTTCCTGAGGCTGATGTGCAATACCTCTGTGCCTCCTTGGCCAACACAACACGTTGTTGTCCTTTTTAAGATCCACATGTGCCTAGGGGAGCGGGGTTTGGAAAAGGCTCCTGTATCACATCTGCGTGGCAGCCACTTGATGCATCCTCTATTGCTAATCCAGAAATGGTTTTGCTGCCTTACAGGAATTCTTGGAGGATATTTATTTCAGAGAAGTGAAACCCAAAAAGTATGTCTTTTAGGCAGCAGCTGCAGCATTGAGGGTCCAAGAAACTTTTGGAGATAAGGAGTTTGGTAGGAAATGGAAAAAAGCCCTCCACCATAGTTGTATAGACACATACATGTGCATGTTCACATGTGCATAGGTGTACCCCTGTGCAGTGCAGGTGTGTGCCTCAAGGGGGGAGCACAGGAGCTGCAGCCATGACATTTACAGCTGTGCCTTCTTTGATTTTGCTTCTCCCAGAGGTGCAGGACGGTGCTGACTCCAGACCCAAGGGCAGGCTCTGCAGCATCGGCAGTTCCCAGGCAGGAGTTTCTACGTGGGCATCTCCAGTTCTGCTTGCTGTGACCTTCCAGGCTGCCAGGGAGACGTGAGGCTCCGCCAGAGACCTGCCAGCCTTGTGTGATCAGCAACCGCTTGCCAGGGCTCACACCAAGCTTCCTGGGGCACTGAGCTGCTGCTTGGCATCCTGACCGCTTCTAATTCCTTGCTGTGCTACTGGCAGGGTGGGATTGATGTCTAGTTTGGGACGCTGGGCAGAACCAAGCCCCTCACCATCCTCTGTGCCCTTGGCAGGCTGCGGGACCGAGCTGGACCCCTCACTCTAAGGGGGCTTTGTGTGAGTGAGGGACAGGTTTGGGGCTGTCCATATTTGTCCCGGTGGGAAGAACCACCTCCTTTCCATCTGGGAACCGTGGCACTGCTGGAAGCTGGGAATGGCACCACATGCAGCACGGGCCAGAGCCAGCAGCCTGGCAGCAGGGCAGTAGCTGAGCCCGAGCATCATCCCCCAGGGCGGGGGGGCTGCCCCAGTCCCCAGCACAGCCGTGCCCAGGGATGTAGGAGCCGGGAGCAGGAGGGGCCCCAGCCATGGGCCGGCTGGACGAGCATGCCAAGAGGAGGATCGTGGAGCTGCGCCGGGCCGGGCTGAGCTTCCGCAAGATCAAGAAGGTGCTGGAGCTGGATGACATCCGGGTGACGCCGCAGGCCGTGTACCTCTTCCTCAAGAGGAAGAGTGTGGAGCCAGGGCCAGGGGCACCCAGCTGGGACGGGGACCAGCCCTGGCCCCCACTGCAGGGCCACGAGGCTAAGCCCCCCAGGCTGCTGGGCCCCCAGCCCCCTGCAGTGCCCCTCGGGGATCCCACGGGCAACCAGGACACCAAGGAGGGCATCCAGATCGTTAGTGTGACCTCCCTCTGCAAGGACGATGGGCAGCTCGGGGACACCCTGCCCTCAGGGCTGTCCCCTGGGCATGGTAAGGCCTGGCTCCCTGACAGGGGCACCGTGGCCACCGCCTGGCAGTGCTGGGCTGGGGAAAGGACCCCGTTCCCCACTGGGGAGCCCCCAAGAGCCTCCTTTTGAGGCATTTCTCTCTCTATCCCTTGCAGGTGACGACAGCTCCACAGGCACCCCCTTGGCTCCAGGGAGCTGCCCTGCTCCGGGGGGCTTGGCCATCCCCCCCCAGCCCCTGCCCAGTCAAGGGCAGCTGGTCACACCCCACACCAGGAACCCAGCCCTGGTGCTGAAGACAACGACTGTGGACAGGGCTGTTCTCCTGCAGAGAAAGGTAGGGTGGCACAATGGGGGAGCCCATCTGCTTGGGCCAGGAGCTGGTGTGGTGCTGCCATCTGGGCAGCTCTGCACAACACCCTGCTGCATCTACACCATGTGCTGGGACAGGCTGTTGGGCATGGAAGGCTCCCAGAAATGCCCTTCAGCCTCTGTAGGCTGCTTTCCCTAGCAGTGCTTGACCATGGCACTTGGTGAGTGTATCTGGATGGCCCCTCTGGGGAGGCTGAGGCTGTGGGCTTGCTGTCCACCCACTTGCAGCCAGCACTTGCTGCTGCCCTTGGCTGATGCTGGCCACGGAGATGCCACTCACTGCCAGCCTTGGCCTCCAACCTGCACCTCACAGACTGCTCTCTAAGGCCTGGTGTCAGTGCCAGCTCAGGAGATTCTCCCAGCCACCCAAGGACACCAGCAGCTTAGTGGCTTGGTGGCACACCAGGAGATGAAGGGCTGTGGACAGTCCAGGACAGAATGACACAAGGAGGATGGAGTGACACAGCCAGGGTGGCCACCCTCCAGTTGCCATAATCCCTTCCATGTACACCCCTGCCTTGCCTCACTACAAAATGTGGCCACACGTATGTTGTCTCCGCAGGTCCTTGTCCTTGTGGCCATCCTGTCATCATGGTGGGCACACAGCCACCTGGCCAGCCCCATGACCATGCCCAGCTCTGCTGCCAGCAGTGGTGACCATGGGGCAAACCTCCATGACCCAGCAGTCCCCAGACCAGCCCCAGGCAGGTGCCCGTGTGACTGCTCCAAAGCTCTACACTTACCCCTCCAGAGGCTCATGGGCATGCTGTTGTCACATGGAGGACACTGGCACTTGCCTTTCTGGCCATGACATGCTGTGAACAAAACAGCTGTGAGTCAGGCTGTGCCTTCATCCATGACCTTGTCTCTGCTTACAGAGAGCAAAAGCCTTCTCCAGCCCACCCAGGTGTTTTCCAAGAGCCCTTGCCAGCTGCTTGAGAGGACATGGGTTGTTCATCACCCTTTCCAGGAGAAAGGCTCCCCTGGAGTTCAAAGCTGGCATGTGATCGCTCACGGGAGCAGAGCAGCCCTGTGCTTCAGGGTGCAGTGCAAGAAATGGAAGGGTTAGAAAGCAAAACCCAGGAGATGCTGTTCCTGTGCCTGCAGAGAGCAAACACAAGCCTGGCTGTAGTGTGGGCAGCCCCACTGCTGTGTGGCAGCATCCACACAGGATGGCTCAGCACATGCTGACAGGACACTTGGCACCAGGGGTCTGGAACTGGGTGGGGATCAAGTGCAGCTCACGCTGAGGTCTAGAGGTTTGCAACAACATGATGGCTTTCCCTGAGAGCTTTTTTCTGAGCCCGGTAGCGAAGTGCAGAATAAACCTTTCCCTTGTTAAGCGCCATCAAAGGGGCAGCTGATAATGTTTCACCTTCCCTACTCCAGGTCCAAGATGTCAGCACTCAGACTGCCCTGCCGAACCTTGTGGGTCTGGAAAATCACCACCTGGCTTGGGGTGTGCCAGTGCCCCCCTCTGCTCCCAGCTGCCAGGCCCTTGCTGAGAAGCTGGACGCCGTGCAGACGGAGGTGCGGAAGCTGAGCCAGGCCCTGCACGTGGTGCTGGAGCGGCAGTGCCGCCTGGAGCGCCAGCAGGAGCAGCAGCAGCGGCTGCAGCAGGAGGTGCTGATGACGCTGCAGCAGCTCAGCTCCACCGTGAGCCACGGGGCCGTGCCGGCCAACCAGCCCTGCGGCCCCTTCAGCAGCACAGCCGAGCCCTCGCCCGCCGTGCCCAACTTCAGCCAGTTCAAGATGGAGCTGATCTGAGCTCACACGGCCAGCGCTCCAGTGCTGTGCTTGGGGAGCAAGAACCACTTTCAGAGGCTGCCCAGGGATTCCACACAGCACCCAGCAGAGAAGGCCCTTGGTGCCTCGTGTTCCCAGCCCTGCTGACTGGAAGGGGCTGCCTGGCGCGAGGGCTGGGCAGTGGAAGGCTGAGGCTTCGCTCCTCCTGTGCTGCTCATCCCGCCTGGGGCTGGCTGGGATCCTGAGAGGGACACAGCATGGAGGTGGGACTCAAAGGGAACACCAGGCTTCCTGCTCTTGAGGGTCAGCGCTGTGATGGTCAATCAAGGAACATGTCCTGTCCTCCCTCTGCAGAGCCTTGTTCAGTAAAAACCTGTTGACACCACGTTTCAGATCCAGTGTGGGATCTCTGTCTGCATTTTCCCTACCCCTCGTCCCAGCAGAGAGCAGGCTGGGTCTGTCTGGGTCACTGGCACCATGGGTGGAACTGCACAAGGTGCTCAGACACACAAGGTGAGACCAGCACTCCCCACATGAAGGATGTTACTGGAGGCTGGCATCAGCTGCTGCACCGTTAGGGACTGATCATAGTGTGTAGGAAACAATCTTTTACTGAGCAGGTTCCACCCTCCTCCGCCCACATTCTCAGCAGATCCAGAGTCTGGCACTGCTGCTGCCCGCTGTCTGGCAGGACCACAGCTGGGCAGGAGCTGATGAACTGGGTGTTCATCTCTCCTCCAACCCCTTTTTCTGGGCAGGACTGTGATCCACAGCAGCAAGGGCTGTCCCTGTAGCAGGCTGCTGGTGCTGCAGAGCTGCTCAAGCAGAGCAGGGCACGATGCTGAGAACCCCTTGCCCAGACCAAAAGGCTCAGGGGAGGCTGATGGACTCTTGCTGCAGCAGTTACGTCCAGAGAGACCAGATCTGGCTTTGCCTGTCAGGTGGAAAGGTCTAATGGGGGTTGCCTTGGCTCATCACCCAGCAGTGAATCCTGAGGGGAGGCAGGGCACGTGCTTCCTCCACGTCAGCCGAGCAGGCTGCTGTGTCCAGGCACCACACTTAGCACAACCTGTGCCTAGAAGAAGTCCCCAACCTGTTTCCTTGATCTCTTGGAGTCTGAGATTAAAATTAAGAAGGGTAAGAAACAATTCAGGTATTTCTATGCACACACACACAGATGTAGGGGTGTGTGTACACCTGGGCATTTTACAGGTCTGTGCTGCAGCCCCAGTGGGTGGGGGAGCTGAACAACCACTCTGCCCTCCTGAGACATGTCCCTGGCCCCAGGGCTGTCAGTGCCAGCTGTGGCCGGGAGCTTCAGAAGTCTGCGGTGATCTCCCCACGCTCACTCATTTCGATGGTGCTGTAATTCTGGGGACGTCTGAAAAGCAATGGATGGACACAAACACAAGATCAGTTGCTCTGCCCTTTTGCACAGGGCAGCTAATCTGCATCCCAGCTTTGCACTGGAAAAGAAGAGGCTGGATGGCCAGCCCGCAGCAGGCACAGTTTCCTAAGATCTCTGTCAATGTTTTGGAGAAAACCAGGAGCAGAACAGCTGCCATCCTCTGGCATGAACTTAAAACCACCCTGGTTTCTGAAAGAGCTTCCCTAAATCTGACCTAGGCTATTTTTAAAATTCTTTTAAATATATACATATATTTATATATATATATATAAAATATATATATATTTTTTAATATATATATATACTGGGTTTTCTGTTCCCCAGATGTATTCTAAGAACTTCCTCATTTCATCAGCCCCTTATCCAGTGCTGAAAGAACAGTAAAAATTAATGGAAATAAGTCACTTGGGCTGGTTAAATAACCCATCCACTGAAACGTTTATTTCTGACAGACACACAGAGTGTTCAGCTGCTCTTTGCCTGCTGACCACATCAGGGAGCACCAAGTTATTATTTAAAGTGGTGTCACGTGTTACAGCGTGGGAGCTGTTTCCCACCAATCCTAAACTGTCACTTCCACCCTGCTCCAGGGAAGAGCTCTTCCCTGTGGCCACAGCATTATCTGCTTTGTGCCACGCTCCAGCTTTCTTCTCTCCCACCACAGCTTGTTGTCAGTACCACTGGTGGCCCTCACACTGTGCCCGCTGGCATGCCCAGGATTTATTGGTGTTACCTCAACCTCCTGCAGACACTGCTCTGTCAGAAACAAAGAAGCTGTGCAAAAAGAGACTTTGATGCAAAAATTAGGAACAATGGAGTGTCTGGGTGCAGTGTAGGTGTTCACCTGAGTGAAGGGGCCTGTGCAGGTCTCTGTGCAGCAGTCAGAGAGGAGGCCCCAGGGAAGGAGAGGGTGGGGTGGAGGATGGAAGGGTGATTCTCACCTTGTGATGAAGCAAAATGTCAGGCTGACCAACAAGAACAGGAGCAGGAGAGATCCCACAACAAACAGGGCAATTTCCCAGGCCTGGAAGGAAGCTGAGGGAGAAAAGGCAGAGAAGGGTCATTGCAGCCATGACCTTTGCCAGCATGGGGGGCCCAGGAGGTCACAGAATCAGAGTTACAGAATGGGTTGGATTGGGCCAGGCAGGATTGGGTTGAGTTGGAAGGGACCTTTAAAGGCCATCAAGTCCAAACTCCTGCCATGGGCAGGGACACCTTCCACTATCCCAGGTTGCTCCAAGCCCTGTCCAACCTGGCCTTGGACACTTCCAGGGATGGGGCAGCTACAGCTTCTCTGGGCAACAACAGGTTGGGCTGTGCCAGCCTCCCAGTCTGGAGATACATTCTTCTCCCTGTGCCACCTCTAGCCTGGGTGCCAGACGCTGCTCCCAGCAACTGGGCTTTGGGGTTCCTGAGCTATGTGACCAAGGGGCTCCCTAGTGAAGCCCAGTCTGGTGGCTTGCCCTGCAAGGCCCCTCTGATATGGAGATGTGACTTGACCCTGGCCCCAGCCCCACTCCCTGCTCTGGAAGCAGAGCCCAGTGCTTAATTTTGCCTTCTACTTACCCCCACTGTGTGACATGGGCAGTACATTTTTGGGGGTCACACACTCAGGACTGGTTTTCAGCACTCTCCCCTCCACGGAGAAGGGGTGGGGGCTGGCCACGAATCCCTGGAGCCAGGTCTTGATGGACTGCTCCTGCTCCGGCTGCCGAGCCCACACCTGGCCCCACACCTTCACCAGGGAGTCCACACATGTCAGGTTCAGCTCTGTCAACAACCAACAGTGGGTCTTGGGTGGTCAGAAACCCTCTGGTGCTGGGGAACACATTGCTCCCAGGACCTTGTGCCCTCCTGCTCCCATGCTCTTCACCTTCTTGTCCTCACTGCTCTGAGATCATGCTGCCATCTGCATTGCAGGTAACCTGAACACACGCCCAACCTTTCTTCTGGTGACCAAAGAGACTTGGAGTTGCCCTCCCACCCAGCAGAATGCCTGGTACTACACTTTGTACCTCTACCCACTGGTCAGAGTTGTCTGAAATTGTTCAAAGGGTCAGAAAGGCATTTTAGGGAGGGAGACAAAGCATGGCAGCAAAGCCTTCCCTTCTTTACAAAACCAACCAAAAACCAGGAAGCATTTCTTCCCATCCCTCAAAAGCTGTAGGTCCCTAAAGCTTCCAGAAGTGACTGTTTGGTCTTGGTACTTTGAGTAAGTGTAGGAAGGTGTTGGGAACCAGAGCCCTCTGGTATGCAAAGGGCTGTTTGCTTTGTGGGTTTGGGATGTGCAGTTTGTGTGACAAACACCACAAGGCATCACCAGAGACTGCCACTCCTCAGGGTCCCTCCAGGTTGCCCGACCTCTCACTAAGAGGCTGTGTCAGGTTCTCTCCTGCTCTCCTTGCTGACATCCCACATGCCCACCACTGAAATCCCCAGGTGCCCTCACCCCTTGCAAGCTGGGCTGGAGAGGTGACCATGACAGCAGCTGTGGATGAGCAGTTAGAGGGAGGAGGGCACTTGGACAGGGCACCAACCTTGCACATAGAGCTCGGAGACACCACAGGAGCACTCTTCCTCTAGAGACCTCACCAAGACCCTTCCCAAACTTTCCAGCATCCTCCTGTGGTGCAGGGTCCACGTGGAACAGTCTAGGGGAAGAGGAGAGATGGTTTTCTGGGTGCAGTTCAGGACTGCTCATAAGTTCCTGGCTATGTGCTCCTTCTAAAACAATTGGCTTCATCCCACCCTTCTCTGCCTCCCATCCTCCTGTGCCCTTCTCTGCAGGATGAGTTTTCACTTCTGGCCTTCTACCACCACGTACACCAGCTTGGCTCCTTCCTCAGCCTCCCAGGGGAGTAGGGAAGGGTCATGCCCCACATTCCCACCCCATGGGCCAGTGCAGAGTGGTCTCATGCTGGGAGAGGAGGGAGAGACCCACTGCCTGCCCCTCTCAGGAGGATGGGGAGGAACCTCCATTTTGCCAGGTCTTGGCTGCCCCAAGCTGATCCCAGCATGGCCTTTGCAGGAGCTGGAGACCCCTCTGTATTTTCCCTTGCTGGCTCTGGGGCGGGACTGAGCTGCAGGAATTTATTCCCGTAGATGGACTGAGACCAGAGGGTTTGCTGGCAGTTTCTCTGACTGTGCCCCCATCACAAGAGATCTCATGAGGTGGTCCCTGCCATTTCTGCAAATCTAACACTGCAGAAAGAAATCCTGATCAAGGCTCAGTCCTGCCTGAGCAGAGATAACTCAAATGAAATATGTGGCCACCTTCATATCATAGAATCCTCATAGGGTTGGAAGGCACCTTAAAGCTCATCTCGTTCCAGCCCCCTGCTATGGGCAGGGACACCTTCCACTAGCCCAGGTGGCTCCAACCTGGCCTTGGACACTTCCAGGGATGGGGCAGCTACAGCCTCTCTGGACAGCCTATGCCTAGGCCATACAAGCCCACGCTGAACTGTGGGCTCGGATGCCCTCCTGGAATGGCAGCACCACATCCCCACGTGGGTCTGTACCAGCTGTCCCCCAGCGTGTCCCCTCTCACAGCAGCAGGCTGCCCACCAGCACCCCCTCCCGTGCCACGGGTCAGCCCCTCCAGTGCTCCCAGCCTGCCCTGGTGGGTCCCAGCTCCACTCACTGGGTGTCAGGAGGCAGAGGTGCAGATCCACAGCCAAGGCCTGCTGGGGGCAGCTGTTCTGCAGGCCGGGGGAAGGTTCCGAGAGGGCAAACTGCAGTCCTGTGCTGGCACTGCCACAGCGGCTCAGGGACATGGGCCTGTCCCCAGAACAAGAGTCAGAGCTCAGTGACATGTCCCCCACCTTTCTTCCCACCTCCAACCACAAATCCCACCAGGGGCCCCAGTTCCTGGCACTGCTGGGGATGATGGAGAGTTGGCTGGAGCTGGAGCTGAAATCAGCTTTCACTCAGCCAGAGATGGGTCCAGCCAACCCCACCAGCTGGAGAAGACGTGGGCTTGGCCAAGCAAACCTATTTGGTCTGACTGGTTTCTGTAGGAGTAAGTTTGCTGCCTCATTACAGCCTGCC